GCTAGATCACCCTTGTTCCTCGTTCTTTATAAATATATTTCTTTTTTGGTTTTGCACACCAGTCAGGTGTGACAATTCTTCCCTGTTGCTCCTGTTCTTAAACACACTCCCTAAGAAATAAGCCCTACTGAACACAGTGCGATGTACTACTGAGTAAACAGGCAAAGGTTTGTGCTGTAAGAAGACTAGGGGTTCATTCATAGTGGAGTTTAAAGACTCCTCTAAAGACTCTTTGTGTAGGTTCATTGTGTAGGTGAGCTTGAGTACATCCGTGATGGATTTCACTGGGCGCCATCTGTCACCACACACCCCTGCTCCCATTTTGTTTCCAACAGATCCAAAGAAAGGATTCGCACTGTTTTCCAAAACAACTGTTTAGAGTAGAGCTGCACTTGCACAAAACAGCTGCATTAAAACATACAAATGAAATTTGCCATTGCAGGTGCAGGAGGAAACAAAGGAAAGCAGCCTTTCATGCCGGTGATTCCAAATCTTTGCCTAGCTTGGAGCAACACAGTATTTCTTTTTACTACTCTTTTGTGCAAATTTGCTATATTGGAAAACTTTTCCAATATATGTCATAGATAGCTGCCACAAGGAACCTTAGGTTTCCTATCTTTCACTCTTGGACAAGTGTGCTGTTAGCTACAGGAATGCCGGGCTTCCTGTATTTCTTATATGAGGTGTGAATGAATGAAACTGAGAATATTTTTGTGCAAACACAGGTACTATATACTCATTGCTTTGTTGTTGTTGTTTAGTCGTTTAGTCGTGTCCAACTCTTCGTGACCCCATGGACCAGAGCACACCAGGCACTCCTGTCTTCCACTGCCTCCCACAGTTTGGTCAAACTCATGCTGGTAGCTTCGAGAACACTATCCAACCATCTTGTCCTCTGTCGTCCCCTTCTCCTTGTGCCCTTCATCTTACCCAACATCAGGGTCTTTTCCAGGCAGTCTTCTCTTCTCATGAGGTGGCCAAAGTATTAGAGCCTCAGCTTCACGATCTGTCCTTCCAGTGAGCACTCAGGGCTGATTTCCTTAAGAACGGATAGGTTTGATCTTCTTGCAGTCCATGGGACTCTCAAGAGTCTCCTCCAGCACCAGAATTCAA